ACTTTAATATATACATCTATTTATGCAAATAAAAAATGTATTTATTGATTGTCAAATCCCACACAATTCTGTTCAACAGCTGAAAATCAAAATTACAATTATATACTAAATACTAAATTTTACAAAATACATCCAATCAATAAAATACTTTTCTGCCTATTTAAGTTGAACAATTTTAATCAAACATTTTATAAAAGTGGGACCCCCAACCAAAACCTTTTTTTTAGACATACAGAAGTTGGAAAGAGTTTGAACCTCTGTTAGCTCTAACCTTTCTCAAAAATGTCTGTCTGTGAACAGTAAGTTGATTCATGAGACCTGGATTTGGAGTGAGATGTTCTCCTTATTTTCTGTGCCAGTTAGTGACAGAAATCAAGGACCCAGTTAGCAGTAATACCCAAATAGGTGTGCTAATACTTTCCTGCATTTATCTTATACATTGATTAAACAACGTTGAAAAATTCCTCCTGCTGTAAGTCCCGTTAAGTGCACCTACTGCCTGCTGCATTTTATATATATATACGATATATATATATATATATATATATATATATATATATATATATATATGTATATACTCCCCGGCCACGGCCACTTTATTAGGTACACTCAGGGGCATAATTACCACAAGGCAAACAAGGCATTTGCCTAGGGCGGCATTTTTCAGGGGCGCAGCACCACCCTCCTGAAAGAGGAGATGGAAGAAGGGACACATGCAGGTGGGATCTGAGAGAGGCTGTGGGCTGCTTGACTCTCATTCTCGGGGATGTCCAGAGCTGTGAAGATGAGTGTCCTTCTCTCTCTTGCTGGGAGGGGAGTGGCCGGTGTATGGGGAAGGCTGTCTTGGGTGGGGGGGGCAGGTGTGTTGTTGGTCAATGTCAGGCTCTCTCTGTTGGGGGGGGGGGGTGAATTTTGTGTTGCCTAGGGCAGCACAAAACCTAAATACACCACTGGGTACACTTGTTCAATTGCTTGGTAATACAAACTGTTAATCAGCCAATCACATTGCAGCAACTCAATGCATTTAGGCATCTAGATGTGGTGAAGATAACTTGTGGAAGTTTAAACTGAGGATCAGAATGGGGAAGAAAGGGGATTTAGGTTTTCTTTGAACGTGGCAGGATTGTTGGTTCCAGACGGACTGTACGAGCATTTCAAAAACTGCTGGTCTACTGGGATTTTCACGCACAACCATCTCTAGGGTTTACAGAGAATGGTCCGAGAAAGAGAAAATATCCAGTGAGCTGCAGTTGTGTGGATGAAATTGCCTTGATGTCAGAGGTCAGAGGTGAATGGGCATTCTTCGATTTCAGCTGTGACATTCAGATGGTAGGTCAGAATTTGGCATAAACATGTTGTAAACATGGATCAGGCTGGGGTAGTGTTGGTGTAATGGTGTGGTGGATATTTTAATTGGCACTAACATGGTGTACCTACTAAAGTGGCCTGTGAGTGTATATATATATATATATATATATATAATATTTTTTTTTTTTTCTGCACTAACAAGACAAAAGTGTGTAATTCCAAGAATGCGTCATAACATATATAATGAAATGCAATATGATGTTAGCATTTTTGAGGCTGTCCAATATATCCCCACACCTCCCACAATTATATAAACAGAGAAAAAACATAAAAGTGATTTGGTACAGTCAGGATACAATGTATGCAAGACTTGGGTTTGTCCTAGAGGGAGACCGGTTTTGTCAAACATGACATTGTTCCCAAGAGTCCCCATTAAGTGGATGGCAGTTTTTTTTACATTACAGTGATATAGGCTAAACATTTTGTGGGTATACAAATAGGAGTTCTTGTAATTTTTACTTACACACAGAGGTCCATTGACCAGGCAAAATGCTGCAAGCTATTATGTTTCTTTATACGTTTGCCAAGCTGTTGAGGGGTAGATAAATAGCCATACTAGCTCTCACCAGAGTAGAGCTCTTATGCCTTTACACAGAAACAGATCTGAACAGCAAACCAGCAAATAAAGCTAATTTAAAGCGCTACTAAACCCAAAAGTAAGGATGTAATATATATTGCAGCTTTCCAGTCTCTAAATGCGGTGGATGCATTAGTTTTCATTTTCTGAATTTGTTTCCTTTATTTTCAACTGGTGATTATTCCAGTATCGCTCACTCACTGTACTGTATCTATGGAGAAGCAGCATGTCATGCTAGGATAGAACAATAGAACACATCCTGCTATCCATATGAAGGAGTAGTTCTGTAATCCTCAGAAGAGGACTTGGAAAGTTGATAACATTGTTTTAAAATTTGGGTAAAAAGTGGTTGTAAACCCTTTGATATACCAAGTGAAGTGACTGGCCTCAGGTGATACACATAGATGCAACAACTCCTCCTACATAAGTTCTACCTGTTTATCTGCACTCTTCTCTTCTTTACATCCGTTCAAAGTACAGAATTTATAACACTTATCTGAGCTTCCAGAAATCAGGGGGCAGGGAGCCGAAGTTACAACCTGCAGAGCTCAGTGAGGAGAGCTCTGAGAGCTGATTGGAGGAAATGGACACACCCCCTTCACATAACACACAGGGACAGAGCTGCGGCTGTCAATCACAGACTGTGTGCTGGGGATCCCTTGCCTCATGCAGTGACTCATACAGATAGCAGAGAAACGAGACAGCAGACAAAAATGACACTTATTGCTCTGGGTTGAGACAAATACACACTATAGAGGGATATTTTTTGTTCAGATTTCATGTCAGAGGTTTACAACCACTTTAAGTACACAAGAAGTTAAAAAGACAAGATTTCTACCGAAATCAATGGGTATTTTTCTGTACGTGCAGAAAATGTACTTGGCATATAATTATTATTTTTATACAGTATTTATATAGCGCCAACAGTCTGCTCAGTGCTGTACATTATAATGGGAGACAATACATGAGACAGCACAGTAACAATACAATAATACACGAGGGGTTCGAGGGCCCTGCTCCTTGGAGCTTACAATCTAGGAGGGGGGGGATAGTGGTACAGGAAGAAATAGCTGTGGGGGATGGAGTGGTAGGAAGAGTGGAGGAGATCGGCAATTAGGTGAGGGTGGGGTAGGCTTCCCTGAAGAAATGGGTTTACAGGGTGCACCTAAAGGTTAGGAGGGTAGGTGACAGTCTGATGGATTGGGGTAGTGAGTTCCAGAGGATGGGGGAAGTCCTGGAGAAGTCCTGGAGACGGGCATGGGAGGAGGAGACCAGGGAACTATAGAGTAGGAGGTCTTGTGAGGAGTGGAGAGTACGTTTTGGGTGGTAAATGGATATCAGGTCGGTGATGTAGTTTGGGGCAGTGTTATGAACAGCTTTGTACGTCAATGTTAGTAATTTGAATTTTATGCGTTGGGCAATCGGAAGCCAGTGGAGGGATTAGCAGAGGGGGTGTGGCGGATACGGAGTGGTTAGTAAGGTGGATGACTCTGGCCGTAGAATTCAGGATAGACTGAAGCGGGGATAGTCTCTGATGAGGTAGGCCGGTGAGGAGGGAGTTACAGTAGTCAAGTCGTGATATAATAATATAATAATTATTATATAATAATATAAGAAAACTAACATAGCCACTTCATCTATAGACTGGTAGGCTATAGATATATTACATGGGTTTCGTGAGTTGAAACATACTTTAAGTACCAATAAAATAGAAGTTTTAGTTTCATTGATCAGCATGTGAATATATATTTTCCAAGCATAATTAGAAATGCTTCTCTAAAATTCTTCAGAGAATTTTTTTTGCAAAACTTAATTTTGCAATCCAACATCCAGTATGTATAATTTTTTATTTAGAGAAAGTGTGATGCCGTTCTAAGTTAGTGAAAAAAAAATCTAGATTAATCCTGATTGTCCCTCACACTCCTATATTTTGAATTTTACAAATAAATTATTTGTTCAGACTTATTTTACAAATGACTGCCAAGCATCTTTTGTCTAAGAACATGGAGAATAATCAACCCTGAGATGGTTAATCCTGGGGTATTACTGCTATGTACTGTAAGTCTACTGGAACATCCACAATATGACCTGTTTTGATTTCTAATGGTCATTTGCTGTCCCACACAGTAAAAACATTACACAAGCAAGGAATATACATAGAGTATTGTTTTATCAGTCTTACATAAACAAGAATATTTAGTTAAAAAAATGTGCATTTAAGTAAAGATATTTTACAAGAAGATCCTTTGGTATAGGGATCTTTTGATATTTTGACTGTCATCTCATGCATGTGTTTATCTGCTGTTTTTAGATAACCAGAATGAGCTTCTATTTTTAGAGTGTGATCTGGACTCTTTTGCACTGTCTTGATGAATTGCTACAGCCATTCAACAGATCAAACAAAAGGAAAAGATACATGGTCAGAAAAAGACAGAAAGGTGCTTAATGTTTTTCTTTTCATCCTGCAGCCATTGGCTGTTTTTCATGCTGTTTCTTTACCTCTAAACTACTTTTTGAAAGTTTATACCAGCAAACAAATCTTTAAAAAACACATATATTTTATTTTACAGAAACAATCATTTTAATAAACATATCATATTTTTAAGGCTTAATTTTGAATTTGCTCATCTGCTGCTACAATGCTTCTGGATAGATTAAATGGGGGCATGTCTTAATCAGTGCTGACAACACAACAGCCAATTATGCGCCAGAGGAAAAACCATTTGTTTGAATTTGCCAGTGGGTGTTTTAAACTAATGTCCACTGTCAATCTAGATGCTAAACGGGCAGATTTTAGGCTCAGTATTGACTTCTTGTTAAATTAAGGATCATTCTTATTTACCTTAGATCTGCCAAATGGATGTTCTTTGAAGATCTTGTGTGTAAATATTTTTATAGTGTATTTACATTGTGTATGTTTAAATTATATTTGGTAATTAGGTTTTTGTGACTTTTTACAAAATTGCTGCTATTGTAATATATCAGTTTCTTTGATTGGAAGAAATAGCGATGGCGATATGGGTGGCATTTCTTTTGTTGCAGAAGCCGGTCCTAGTCATACAGAAGATAACACTTCTCCAGACGGATCTTTTCCTTTTTTCTCATCCAAGACATGAACAATGCCTGGTTTCAGCAACAAATCATCCGATTCAATTTGACTTTTGCTTTCTTCTACTTCACTATACTTGCCTTTGCTTTGTTGTGATGCTTTATTTAAGACTTCTTTTAAGCGATTCTTTATTTCAACATCAGGACAGAAAAGATATTCATAAAGGCATCCTGCGAAAACAGCACCAACAACTGGCCCAACCCAGTAGACCTAAAATATAAATAAAAACAGATATTACCATTTTAGCTGGTCCCAATCTAAATTACATAAAGTGAGGGAGCTGCACTTGCTTTCAAATACTGTCAAGAAAAAACATCTTTGGGACCCCATTCCTACACACGTACATACATACAGATGGACGTATTTTAAATGCATGCAGTGGTACATACAGTACACACACAGTTAAACACCTTTAGAAATACACCTATATGCACATATGAATAAGAATACTCACATGCATACAATGGGGTTGGCTTACTAATAGAGGCTGTTTGCTTAGCAAAATGAATGTTAGTAAACTGGGTGAATACACACTCATGTGCTAGCAATACTCCATGTTTTCCTCTTTCTTTTGCTCATAATTAGATATTCAAAAAGAACTGTTTCCCCTTTTTTAATAGCATTCATTTTACAAAATGAACATGCCTTTTTCAAATCAAAAATGTACTTTCCTGGCTGAACTGCTTATACTCCTCTAGTAAATGAACCTCGCTTACATGCAATATTTATTTATTTTTATTATAGGTACTTATATAGCACCATCAATTTATGCAGTATTTTACATATATATTGTGCATTCACATCGTCCCTAACCCTCAAGGGGTGTACAATCTAAGGTCCCTAACTCACATTCATACATACACATACTAGGGACAATTTAGACAGGAGCTAATTAACCTACCAGCATGTCTTTGTAGTGTGGGAGGAAACTGGAGTACCTGGAGGAAACCCACTCAGGCACAGGGAGAATATGCAAACTCCATGCAGGTTGTGCCATGGTTGGGATTCGAACTAATGACCATAGTGCTGCCAAGCAGAAGTGCTAACTACTTAGTCACTGTGCTGCACTATAATTAACCATTTCAATACCGTGCAATTTTACACCTTCCTGCCCAGGCCATTTTTCACGTTTCAGCGCTCTCACACTTTGAATGACAATTGCGCGGTCATACAACATTGTACCCAAACTAAAATTTTATCATTTTCTGCACACAACTGGAGCTTTCTTTTGGTGGTATTTAATCACTGCTGGGCTTTTTATTTTTTGCTAAATTAACAAAAAAAGACCAAACATTTTGAAAAAAAAACACGTTTTTCTTTGTTTCTGTTATAAAAGTTTACAAATAAATAATTGTTCTTCATAAATTTAGGCCGAGATGTATTCTGCTACATGTCTTTGGTGAAAAAAACCCAAATTAGGATGTATTATTTAGTTTGTAGGAAAGTTATAGAGTTCACAAACTATGGTATAGATCTGAATATTGATCAATCCTGAAGTACTGACAGCCAATCTAATTTCTTGAGGTCCAAGAATGTCAGAATAGTACAGATATCCCCAAATGACCACTTTTTGCAGAGTAGACAGTCCGACGTACTTCATAAGAGGCATGTCGAGTTTTTTGAAGTATTTTTTTTGTCAGAATTTTTCGGAAAATGAAAAAATGAAAAATATTATTTTCACTATTTTTTTTTTTACATACTGTCACCAGTGCAGTACAGCGTCATCATATAACTGGCATGGCAGTGAACAGGGACACTGACTGGTGACAGTATGAAAAAAAAAATATATATATATTTTTTATTTTTTTATTATTTTTAATTTTTTATTAGATTTTTTTTATTTTTTTTTCATATTTTACTATGACCAAAGTAGTACAATGTTACCATAGTAACATTGTACTACTTTGGGGAAGTGATCAGTATTTTTTTTTTTTTTACACAATTTGCTTATAGCAAAGAATTACTTTGCTATAAGTAAGCATTTACCTGAATGAAATCGATTCATTCAGGTTTTTTTTTTTTTTTTTCTTTTTGTGCTTAGCTGTGATTTGGTCACAGCTAATCACATGACATGCGCATGTGATTAGCTGTGACCATTCACAGCTAGGCACTAGTATACAATGGATGGCATGAATGAAGCCATCCATTGTATACAACTGTCATGTGACCTGCTGTGATTGGTCACAGCAGGTCACATGGTACTAGCAACGGGGGCCGGTACTCAGATCTGTCATTGGCCGTGTCCGAGGTACACGGCCGGTGACAGATCGCGCCGCTGCGCGGCTCTGCATTAGCGCAAACTGCGCATGTGCGGGAGCACGCCAAATGGCATGCACCCGGAAGGACGAAGCACTTTTGAAGCCGCCAAATGGCCATTGGCCGGGTGGCTAATGGTTAATATATATATATATTTTTATTTTTTTTTGCTTAAAATTGCACACAGTTTTCTCAGAAACTTACCTGTTCCCAGAAACTACTATGTTTAACTTACAGTACAGTATTTATATGCATCACTGGTGACTCTGTCATGAACCTATAATATTGGAGTTTAATGCAGAATGAAAGTTCTGCTGTTACAAGTGCAGACAGACTTTTTATTGCAAAAGAGACATGCAATAAAACATACAGCTATATCCTAGTGACTAGCTTCATGACTAGCTCATCCTGTGCCAGCCTATGAAGATTTGCAAAAAACACTTTACAGGATAGGATGTCGGCACCAGCAAGAAACCTTTGGGAAAGGTGAGCATTAATCCTTTTAATTCAGCTTTACGGATATGTCCAATGTAGTTCCCCAAATTGACCAGTAGATGTCACCATAGTTAAGGTTTGGAATCCTGTAATAAGAGTAGGCAGCCAATTGAGCTGTTGGAGCCAGTAGGGGTCCTCATATGTAAGATAGTAGTGATTAGAAGGGTTATTTAGAGCAGGGTATCTTGAGTAGAAGGTTGTGTATACATATGTTTATACAAATATATACAAGTGTACATACACTATATTGCCAAAAGTATAGGGACACCTTCCTTTACATGCACATGAACTTTAATGGCATCCCATTCTTAGTCCATAGGGTTCAATATTGAGTTGGCCCGCCCTTTGCAGCTATAACAGCTTTAACTCTTCTGGGAAGGCTGTCCACAAGGTTTAGGAGTGTGTCTATGGGAATGTTTGACCATTCTTCCAGAAGTGCATTTGTAAGGTCAGGCAACGATGTCGGACGAGAAGGCCTGGCCCACAGTCTCCGCTCCAATTTATCCCAAAGTTGTTCAGTCAGGTTGAAGTCAGGACTCTGTGCAGGCCAATCAAGTTCCTCCACCCGAAACTGGCTCATCCATGTCTTTATGGACCTTGCTTTGTGCACTGGTGCACAGTCATGTTGGAAAAGGAATGGGCCATCCCCAAACTCTTCCCACAGAGATGGAAGCATGAAATTGTCCAAAATGTCTTGGTATGCTGATGCCTTAAGAGTTCCCTTCACTGGAACTAAGGGGCCAATCCCAACCCCTGAAAAACAACCCCACACCATAATCCTCCCTCCACCAAACTTTACACTTGGCACAATGCAGTCAGGCAAGTACTGTTCTCCCGGCAGCCTCCAAAATCAGACATGTCCATCGGATTGCCAGACAGAGAAGCGTGATTAGTCACTCCAGAGAATATGTCTCCACTGCTCTAGAGTCCAGTGGTGGCGTGCTTTACACCACTGCATCCAACGCTTTGCATTGCACTTGGTGACTTAAGGCTTGGAGTCAGCTGCACGGCCATGGAAACCCATTCCATGAAGCTCTCTATGCACTTTTGTGCTAATCTGAAGGCCACATGAAGTATGGAGATCTTTAGCTATTGACTCTGCAGACAGTTGGCGACTTCTGTGCACTGTGCGCTTGAGCATGTGCTGACCCCGTTCTGTCATTTTACATGGGCAACCACTTTGTGGCTGAGTTGCTGTTTTTCCCAGTTGCTTCCACTTTGTTATAGTACCACTAACAGTTGACTGTGGAATATTTAGTGGTAAGGAAATTTCACGGATGGACTTATTGCACAGGTGGTAACCTATCACAGTATCACACTTGAATTCACTGAGCTCCTGAGAGCGACCCATTCTTTCACAAATGTTTGTAGAAGCAGTCTGCATGCCTAGGTGCTTGACTGTATACACCTGTGGCCATGGAGGTGATTGGAATACCTGAATCCAATGATTTGGAGGGGTGTCCCAATACTTTTGGCAATATATTGTATATATGTATGTGTATATATATATATATATATATATATATATATATATACAGTATATATACATACAGTTGTGTTCAAAATAATAGCAGTGTGTTGAAAAAAGGGAATAAAGCTCAAATCCTTCTAATAGCTTTTATTTCCATACACACAAATGCATTGGGAGCACTACACAATCTATTCCAAATCAAAACATAAAGAAAAATATATCAAATTTGTGTTGTTCCTCTAACAAATTGAAGAAAAGTGAATATTAGACTGTTCAAAAAAATAGCAGTGTTTGTATTCTTCTTTACAAACTCAAACATTCACTATATAAACTGAAAAATGTGTGAAGATTTTGCTTTCCTTTGAATCATTTAATTAATATTTAGTTGTATAAGCACTGTTTCTGAGAACTGCTGTACATCTGTGTTGCATGGAGTCAACCAACTTCTAGCACCTGTGAACAGGTATTCCAGCTCAGGATGATTGGACTACATTCCAAAGTTCTTCTCTATTTCTTGGTTTTGCCTCAGAAACTGCATTTTTGATGTCACCCCACAAGTGTTCTATTGGATTAAGATCCAGGGATTGGGCTGCCCACTCCATAGCGTCAATCTTGTTGGTCTGGAACCAAGATGTTGCACGTTTACTTGTGTGTTTGGGGTCATTGTCTTGTTGGAACACCCATTTCAAGGGCATTTCCTCTTCAGAATAAGGCAGCATGACCTCTTCAAGTATTCTGATGTATTCATGATCCCTGGTATGCGATAAATAGGCCCAACACCATAGTATGAGAAACATCCCCATATCATGATGCTTGCGCCACCATGCTTCACTGTCTTCACAGTGTACTGTGGCTTGAATTCAGTGTTTGGGGATCGTCTGACAAACTGTCTCCGGCCACTAGACCCAAAAAGAACAATCTTACTTTCATCAGTCCACAAAATGTTGCTCCATTTCTCTGTAGGCCAGTCAACGTGCTCTTTGGCAAATTGTAACCTCTTCAGCACGTCTTTTTTTTCAACAGTGGGACTTTGCGGGGGCTTCTTGCAGATAGCTTGGCTTCACATAGGCGTCTTCTAATTGTAACAGTACTCACAGGTAACTTTAGACCTTCTTTTATCTTCTTGGAGCTGATTGTTGGCTGAGTGCTTGCCATTTTGGCTATTCTTCTAACCATTCGAATGGTAGTTTTTTGCTTTCTTCCACGTCTTTCAGGTTTTAGTTGCCATTTTAAAGAATTTGCGATCATTTTAGCTGAGCAGCCTATCATTTTCTGCACTTCTTTATATGTTTTCCCCTCTCCAATCAACTTTTTAATCAAGGTACGCTGTTCTTCTGAACAATGTCTGGAACGACCCATTTTCCTCAGAATTTCAGAGAGAAATGCACTGTAACCAGCATGAACAACATTTGCTGCCTCCTTACTTAAATAAGGGCAATAATTGCCATCTGCTTTTCAAAGAATGAATGACCTCACTAATAGAACTCCACACTGCTATTATTTTGAACATGCCCCTTTCAATTAGTGATTCAATTACACAGAATCAGCAGCATGCATGTCATGACTGTTGGGTCTGTTGGATTTCTATTACTGTACTACACCTGCTAGTAAATTATTTGCCATGTAGAAATATCATTTCTACCAAAAACAGTGATTGATCAGGTTAGTGAGGTCTGACTGCTATTATTTTGAACACAACTGTATATATTAGTATAGTATAGTTTTAACAGGCAGTGTAAAATGGTGGAGAGCTGTGGGACGCATTGCTGTAAGGTCTATGGAAACACAGGTGAAGATTACAGGCAAGGCTGGGGACCTCTGAATGGATAAACGTGAACTAAGTAGTTGGGGATAGAAGTTTTTAGAGTTACTGAATACCCCTAGGAAACTGGCTCAGGTGAGGAAGGTACTGGATCCCAGGAAAGGTGAGTGTTTGTTTATTAAAAGTCAGCAGCCACTGTTTTTGTAGCTGCTGACTTTTAATTTTTCAAGAAATGCCTGAAGAGCAGTTTTAATATTATGAGGGACTCTTTCCATCCTACATATGGACTGTTGGTCCCCCTTGCTTCAGGTTGGATGTAATGCAGCATCAGGGCCAGAACCACCAGACTCATGAACACCTTTTTTTCCTAATGCTGTGAGATTAAATATTTCTGCATCAACTTAAAATATCACTTCTATATATTAGTATTTCTTTTCTTAGCATTTGTGCAAACTTACATTAATAGTACTGTACTTTATGATGATTTATGATTGCAATAATTGCAAAATGATTTGTATGTTTTTATATTTACACATTTATTTATTTTTGTGTATTTGTCTTGTATTATTGTTCACTACGGCCTGAGTATATTATTTGATGTCTTTCATGTATAACAAGTTTTTTGAATGACAATAAAAATATCCTTATGCGTAACTACCACTTTGGCTGACATGGTTAAACCTACTAAAGATCCAGCAATGGTCCACCTCTGTGGGGTGACCACATACAGGTATAGCAGTGGTCATATGCCACAAAAATATCTATCTCTTGTATTAAATATCCACTTGTTGACTGGAAACAGGTTAAATTGTAATGAATAATACAGATGTAAATCTAAATACTGTATTTTTTCAGAACAATTAAGAGGCTGTTAATAAAAGAATCATATTTAACCCTTTTGCTGCCAGATACATTTTTTAAAAAAATGCACACATTTTAAAAATCATTTCAGGTCTGATGATTACATAAAAACCCCAAAACGTTTCTGAAAGCATACACCCTAGAGAATAAAATAGTCATAGTTCCAATTTTTTTACATCACGATTTTACTGCAAAGGTCTGTGAAATGCAAAATTTCAATAAAAAGTACACAAACACAATAAATTACCTAATTTGATGGCCGGGAAACTGAGAGGGAGACATGGAAGTGAAATTTTACATGTTGCTTCTGAGTCAGCAACAAGACGGGGAGATATGCGACATGTATCTGCTTAGCTTCCTCCCCTCTACCTGGCAGCACCTGCTATTCTGGTCCCGGGCAGGCAGAGCCGGGGATACACAATGGGGGCGCACGACTGCTTCCACCTGACAGGCAGGAGTCTGATTGTCAGATTTAAAAGCTGGAAGTGTGTGTAGAACCCCTCACTCTCCAGTCTATATGACGTACTGAGAGAGCTACCCTCCAGGCTCAAACATGCCCTCCATCCCCACTCTCCTCTAACTAGTTGGTGCCATGAAAATTTTTTAAAAAATTGAACAACTACCTAAATCTTTTTTAATCACCTCTATCAACTGTAATGTGACATTTCAAATCTTCTCTCTTCTTGCTGTATGACATGGGGATTTTCTATTAGCTGTTCAGTGGAGGAGTTCTCTCAGGATCCAGGACAGAATTCTCAAGAGTGAAGTCAGCAAAAGGGGAGTGGATTACCAGCCCCCCACACCCAGAAACATTGCTTTAGAAGGCAGATTTGAAAACAAAAAATAGAAAGGTTTGAATAAGTAAGGGGGAAGGTATTTTCATTTTTGCCTGGAGATGGGCTTCAACATGTGTATTATTATTTATTATTATACAGGATTTATATAGCGCCAACAGTCTGCACAGCGCTTTACAAAATAAAAGTAGACATTACAATTACAATAAAATTTGGTACAAGAGGAAAAAGAGGGCCCTGCTCATTAGAGCTTACAATCTAGTTGGAAAGGTTGAGTGATATAAAAAGTAATAGCTGTGAGAGGAGGAGCTGATGGAGGAAATAAATGGCAGTTTACTACTTAGAAACAGGATAAGCTTCTTTAAAGAGAAAGGTTTACAGGGATCGTCTAAAGGCGGACAGATTAGGAGATAGCCGGACAGATTTGGGTAGGGATTTCCATAGGATGGGGGAAGCTCAAGAGAAGTCCTGGAGGCGAGCATGCGAGGAGGTGACATGGGAACTATAGAGCAGAAGGTCTTGGGAGGATCAAAGAGAGCGGTTTGGTTGATATTTTGAGACCAAGTTGGTGATGTAGCTGGGGGGGGGGGGGGGGGCAGAGTTGTGGATGGCTTTGTAAATTGTTGTTAGTTTTATGAATTTTATCCGTTTAGTGAGTGGAAGCAAGTGGAGGGATTGGCAGAGAGGGGTAGCAGACACTGAACGGTTGGTAAAGTATATTTAATATGGGCTTCAATATGTGTATACAGTGTGTGTGTGTGTATATATATATATATATATATATATATATATATAAAGCAGAGGAATCTTATAGGTGCATGTGTTTTAAAGCCATTCGTTGCTTTTCGAATAGACCCGCCAGTGTTAAAGCAAAAAATAAAATGCAATACAACCTCCCTTCAATTTAGTCCTAATAAGGATTTCTACTAGCATTAATTAATGTACAGTATATGTATATATTTTAATAGACTTTAAACAAATGTATTATAATTAGTGTATTTAATTTGTCTTACCCAGTGGTTTTCCCATTTGTTCATGATGACAGCTGGACCAAATGATCTAGCTGGATTCATGCTGGCTCCTGTGTAGTTGATCTATAGAAGGATAGAACATAAAACAAATGAAGTTGCTAAACAGAGAAAGTTAAATGTATAAACATTGTTTCATGCTGATAACCATTTGACATTCTTGTCCATACCATTTTAGCAGGCGATTAGCTTGAGACAGTAGTACTCCAAGGTACCTGATCATCAGCCATGACGTTACATCATCATCATCATCAAGGTGGTGAATAAAGTTCAGGAGGACAGTATTTTAAACACGAAAACAAAATCAAGAACACAGGGACATGACCTTAAACTAACTGGAAGAAAGATTAAAACTAACCTCAGAAAGTACTATTTTAAAGAAAGAGTAGTTGATGCTTGGAATAAACTTCCAGCAGCAGTAGTGAGCCAGTCAACAGTAAATAGCTTCCAACATGATTGGGACAAGCATAGATCTTTACTCAGACAAAAAAGTTAACAAAAGCAAGTAACAAACAAAAACCAACCCCCCCCCCAAAAAAAAAAAACACACAAACCCCCCCCCCCCCCCCCAAAATGGGCAAACTTGATGGACCACTCAGTCTTTCTGCCGTCACTTTTCTATGTTTCTATGTATCATAAATTCATAAAATTATTCATCATGATCATTCTCATAATCTTTTAATTTTCTATCCAGCAGTAGGGCAGTGATGGATGTGTTATCTATTATTATTAAAACAACCTTTTCCTTTGCTAATGCTCACAGAAACCACTGCCAAATATGAGCTTAAAACTCATCAGTACCTAATAATTGGAACAAACTCCCCTCCAGTGTACCAGCAGATGCCCCATTGTTCCTCCACTGTTGTATGCCATTTTTTTTCTCAAACAACATAGAGGGGAGGTGAAGGTTGGCAATTACAGATATATTACAGATATAGTAATAGTTGGCATATCTTGATCATAAATGTGAGATGGTGTAAAAATCCAGGGCTGCTTTTCGTTACCAGGCTGGCACTGCCAGGGAATTTTATAAACGCACAAGGAAGTACATTATACCATAAATAAGTTCACTACATTTAAAGCCTGAGGGTCAAGTCACATCTATCTGGTCTTTTGCAGTGTATTAACCTCCCTAGCGGTCTGATTATGTCAGTATTTCTGTGCTCAAATTGGTACTTTTTTTGCATGGAAATACAGTATGTATTTTTTTTATTGTAAGCCTGTAATTCTTAGGAATAACTCACTGAAATCTGTCCGAACAAGAGTCTAGTAAACATCCCGGGTATGATAAAATTTGAAACACGAAATCATAAATTATAATATAATACATAATCATAAAAAATAATATAATAATAATAATAAAAAATGTAATTCAATAATATAATCAAACCAAAAACACTGAAATTTGAAATATAGCGCCAAGTTCGCACATCACTGATCTTAGTCGCAAAATCGTTATCAGTGTCTGATGACGAATTTCCTCACAAATCATTATCACTCAATTCTGCAAGTGGTTCTAATTTACTATCGCTGTTCTCTAGCTGGTCTAAAACCGTTTTTGACCTAAAGGGACGCTTTTTGGACGCCATGGACGTTTCTCAGTTTCCAGGCATAAAGAACAGTAAAAATGCAGACAGGGCACAGGACAAAGCACTAGGGACAAAATGTATGTGAAATGGTTTGATACAGTAATGTTATACTATGTGATTTTAGTGTATTGAGTAAATGTCACATTTTAAAATGTTTTAATTTCCTGCTGGTCCTGTACGTCCTGAAGCTCGCAGAGACCGGAACCCGGAAGACGGATGCCGGCATCGGCCGGAGGAGATGGCCGGGGATGCTGCAGGGGGGACAGTGCTGGAGGAAATCCCTGAGCAACGCTGCAGGGTAATCCCGAGTAATCCCGAGTGTAGCTCGGTGTTACCACTTCTGGTACTGAAACTTAACCCCAAGCTACACTCGGGAATACCGCCAGGAGGGTTAATGCCCAATATGTTGCACATTAATGTACATTGCATTAAGGTAGCCTATTTATTTGAATGGCCTGCCAATGCACCACAATGGACCAGAAATTGGATATATGCTATTTTTTGTAATGTAGCGCATCCCAACACTTGCTAATTTGTTACCTTGTGTTGTGGTACGCTGCAATGCAAGTGCTTTAGTGCATTGTGGTGCCATCTCAATGACATTGCAATGCCTTAACGTGTGCATGACATCATGTGCTGTGGTAACACGCCTGTTTTCACAACGAATAGGGGTGAATGGGTCATAAACATATTGGGGGTTATCCACCAAAATTGGAGAGTGCAAAACCTGGTGCAGCTATGCGTAGAAACCAACTCATTGAATAACAACAGGTTCACATAATATACTGTATCTACAGTGGTTTTTACTTACAGCAAACAGATGACCTATTGCCACAGAAAATCCAATTGCGAGTGCTACTGATCCAGTGATATCATTGCGCTTTGAATCACAACTTGCACAAATGGTAAAAAGCAACTGGAAAGTAATTATCAATTCAACCAGGAGCCCATGACCAGGAGAAAGCTTTGCATTCACCTATGAATGTATTAAATACAAAAATTACAAATGCAAGAGGGCTATATTTAAATGAAACACAGTATAAAAGGTAAAATATAATGTTTTTCATTTCCTTTTTAATATTTTTAGTTATCCTTTAATTGTTACATAATGTTAATATATAATATAAATGCCCCAGAGACACTTTTAGGGCCAGTTCACACTATAGAAATGTAGTCCTGATGCGCTCTGGATGCATTTTTGCATCCGCATTTTTAAGCGTTTTGGCATGTTTTTGATGCATTTTTGATGCGTTCCAGTGCATTTTTTTATGCATTCCAATTAATTTTTTCCTCTTTTTCTTCAATTTAAATAGTGACATGCGTGTTCCAGTGTGTTTTGGTGCATTCCAGTGCATTCCGGTGAGTTTTTGATGCATTTTACCACATTCCAGTACAGTTCTGTGCAGAAAAAATGCAGCCTGTTCTACTTTTTTTCTGCACCCGGAACACACTGTAAACTGCAAGCACTGATGTGAACTATGACATCAACAACCATATAACCTGCTTTCTGTGTATTTTGGATTCAGAAGAAATGCAACTGAAATGCATGTAGTGTGAACCGGGCCTTATACTATAACAACAAGCATGATATTTTCCTTGATCTGGTCCCCGAAAAGGTGTCACCAGAGCCCCACATGTTAAATATTGAATACCAGTGATAAATGGAGAACTCAAAAATGAGTTTCTGGGAGTCCATTTTGGATAATGGACAACATTTTGTATCTATCTAATCTAACACATTAGCCTTCATGTTGCCTACTTCTGATCAAAGCTTAAAGTGAATCTCTGTTGTACATTCTACTTTCTTGCACACTTCTTACCATTTCCTTTCTTAAAAACTATCAAAGTGAGAGAGTGGGAAGGTTCTCCTTCATTAACAAAACCTGAGCAATCCCACTGTTGTAATCAAAGGGAACACCATCGGCATTCCTTTAAGTCAGTGTTTCTCAACTCCAGTCCTCATGGACCCCCAACAGGTCATGTTTTCAGGATTTCCCTCAGATGAAACAGCTGTGGTAATTACTAAGGCAGTGAAACTGATCAAATCACCTGTGCAAAATAATGGAAATCCTGAAAACATGACCTGTTGGGGGTCCATGAGGACTGGAGTTGAGAAACACTGCTTTAAGTCCTCATGCACACTGGACATTTTTACAGCTGCTGTTTTTGTCTTTTGATGTTTTTTTCTACAGCCAGTAAGCTCCCCAGCATGTTATCCTAGGTGTCCATGCACACATAGACTGCAATCAACGAACTTTTTTTTTGGCAGGGGCATTTTTGGCTGGAAAAAAAACCCAGAACTAGTGGGTTTCTAGTGAAGTTTTTTTAGCTGTAAAATCGCTCTGATACTGAAAAATGGCAAAACGCTGCTAAACGCTAATGCAAGAATGCTAAAAAACTCAAATTTTTAACGTGACTTTACACAGCTAATGTGTATATGTAAATAACCAGTGTTATTAAAATGCCCCATGTGCATGGAACCTAACTGTGAAAATCCTGTTGCATGGGTTGCCTCTAATGTGACTTCCAGCTGTGTGTAGGCTTCTAGGAAATGCAGTGAGCCAGACACAAAACCAAGATGTCAGTTCTGTAGGAATTCTATGTGCAAATCTTGTGCACAATGCCCTTCATTTGCCATATTGCAAGAAAACGGCATTTCATTTTGTTGCCAGTATTAAAACATTATTTAGTTGGCAAAAGTGGACCTTTCCATTATTTACAGATAATAACATGCTTTCAGAGGCCAATCTCCAGGTGGCACATCATTGATTTGTTCTTAGATTAATAGGAAGGACTGCATGCAAATGAGTTAAACAATTAAGGCTTAAATCTAAATGAATGGTTTTTAACCACTTCCATACTGGGACAATTCTGACACTTCTCTCATATATGTAAATATCAGTGCTTTTTTGCTAGGAAATTACTTAGAACCCCAAACATTATATAATTTTTTTTAGCAGAGACCCTAGAGAATAAAATGATGGTCATTGTAATTTTCTATGTCACACAGTATTTGCGTAGCAATTTTTCCAAGGCAATTGTTTTGGGAAAAATACAATTTATTAAATAAAAAACCCCACAATATGTAACTATAATACTTTTTGTAAAATATTAAAGAAGATGTTACGATGAGTAAATAGATACTCAACATGTCATTCTTTAAAATTGCGCATGTTTGTGGAGCTACGGTACTTAAAGTGTTACTAAACCCACAACAGTAAAATCAGTCTGTATATGCAGTAAAGCATGCTTGTTATTGTCACTGTGTAACATAAGGGGTTAATCCTCTGCATTGTCTAAAAATGCTGTTTATACTGACTTCTCTAATCCTCCCCTTCTTCCAGTGTCTACCTCTTATCTCCTGATAGGACATATCATGTGGAGACACTCTGCACATGCTCAGTTTGGTGTGTATTGCTAGAGAGGTTTTTTTTTTCTTGGGAGAGTGCGTGTGATCAGTGCAGTGCCAATCAGCACTGCCCCCCAGACAGAGGTCAGGGATTCTACATCCTCCTAGAGAAAACTCCTCCTACAAGCTTTAACTAGTGCTCGTGTGGACACTGATAGAAGTCATAAGACTGCTCTAACTGCTGATGAGAAAAGGTATTTAGCAGTTTATATTTACTAAAATAATTGCATTTCCATGTTCTGTGCTGTTGGAGACCAGATTTAGTAAATACAGGGTCCTGGGTTTAGTAACAGTTTAAAAATTTCCATAGGTGACGGTTTATAAATGTTTACAGGTTACCATTTTAGAATTACAGAGGATGTATAGTGCTAGAACTATTGCTCTCACTCTGTCGTTCATGGCAATACCTCACATGTATGGTGTGAACACCGTTTACATATGTGGGCGTGACCTACATAAGCATTCACCACTGCACGTGAGCACGAGCGGAATCAGGGCGGCTTAAATTTTTTTTCTTTTTATTTATTAATTGTTTTTAATTTTCACATTCTCCCTTTACATTTTTTTTAATCACTTGTATTGCTATCACAGGAAATGTAAACATCTCTTCTCTACCATGGAAAGCATGAGACCCCCCCCCCCAAAAAAAAACCCCCCCCCAAAACATTGACGTAGTGCTTTCCTACATATAAAATGGTCTTGCTTACATTCAGCTGAAATCAGAAGTGATGCCCCGGGCTCACCAATCAGGCAGGTAAGCCCAAGAACCACTGGAAAGCTCCCGCCACTTCTAAAAGGGATCCAGCTGCTCAGATCACTTTTAGTGGTTGGGGAATCACTGGCTGAAAAAAACAATAATGGGGTGTTGGCATATTGCTGCAGCCATTACACTGGTTTTCAACTTTAAACCGAGGACATCTTTTTACTATGGCCCAGTTTGGAAATGGGGTGAAAGAATGATACATTTCTAAAATTGCTTTGAAAAAGACTTGCTATGCAAAACTAGATTCTCTGTTAAATGAACTGGGAAAGCTCTTCTTGGGAAAAACAAGTCGATCCCCCTGCTCCTCTTTCCCATGCTCATCTAATTATATAAAATGTTATGATGTATTTGTAGCTGATATCTAATGTATTTTATGATGGCATACTTTTTAAAAATAGGCTTTTATGTTTATTCTTTCTACTTCATTTTTGTGTTTTGGATTTGGGCACTTTAAAATCCTTATTTCCCACAGTCTCCTCTTTGTAGGGACATACAAGTACCTTCTTTTTGATTTATGATTATAGCTGGGGATTGTGCTAACGTATACAAGGTGACAAGACCCCCCACCCAATATTTGTCAAAACTAGATGTTTGCTTGCATTACAAAATATTAAACTAACAATAAATGATTCTGTGTTAAATTAAATAATAGAGTAGAATTTATGATTACCTCAGTAACTCCCAAACCTCCAGCAACATCAGATGGAGTGACTACATAAAGGATTCCAGCTCCTGCGATGGCACCCAAACACTGTGCAACAATATAAAAGGCTGACTTTGCAAGGCTGATCTTCCTCATACAAACCATTGCAATAGTAACTGCGGGGTTAATATGGCCTCCACTTATATGTCCAAAACACTGCACTAGGGTTGCAATGCTTAGTCCAAAGCAAAGTGAAATAAGGACCAGATCTGCAGGTTGAGGGTTTTCTTTTTTACTCCAATTAATGGTCGAACCAAGGCTGAGAAGAACAAATATAAACATAGCCAGAAATTCACCAATGACTGCCTTCCAAAATGGCTGGGTCCACACACCTTTACAGGCCACCATGATTGGATTGCACGTGCAAAAACGTCCGCACTTGCTAAAGGAAGAAAAATAAGAAAGTAGTTACTTACCAATAATACAAAATGATACTCAAACACTTACATTTAAAGCCCATCTCTGGAAAAATCTAAAGTGCCCCCATCCTTGCCATGCCCCTCCTGGCTTCCACCATTACACAAGCCCTCCAAAGCAGTTTTTTTAAACGTTTTTGTGATCTAAAGCAGTTCCTTTTCCAGTAGTGGAAACCAATGATCCAGCCCACTGTGGATTGGTCCCATCATTGTGCAATCATCATGCCGTTGCAGCCTTTTTGAGCCTAAGAGGGCCTTGCCACTGAACAGCCAATGTGTCCATATCATTCAGATAGAGATTTGAGGACCCAAAGAAGGACCCTCCCCACTGCAGTCTAGAACATATAATAATCAAGACCTGGAGTGTTGTCTGAGCATGGATTTAGATGTGTCAAAAGGGATTTTAAATTTTTTTCTGCAGTCATTAATTATTAACGGGTGGTATTATCTGTGGTGGAAGGGGGGGTCCCTGGCTGGAGCAGGGCTTTAAGGACCTTTGCACACATGTCAGTAGCTGTGTACTGCTGACCCATGGGCCACAATGTTTTCTGACTCACCAACTTGAAACAAGTATGTCGACCAGGAATATCAGAGAAAAAGTATTTGTTTGTTTGTTCCAGGAAAGTGTCTCTCTCATGCAGTACTGAAATCAGAGGGTCAGCATGACTGCCAAGTAACTAGGATTTTCAGATGGAGAAGCCAACCCTAACAATCCCCATATGTTTTTGATTACAGGTTTCCTTTAAAGCTGAAGGAATATCTTATGTGCCCTAAATAATGAAAGTAAAATTTTGAATTTGTAGCCTTCTACGAGAACATTTTACTCTAATGGATGGAGCACAACACTCAGCCAAGAAAGTAAAGTTCTACAGTTGGAAGACAAATCCCCCCCACCCTTTTAAAATGCTGTGGGCAGTGCTACCAAGGGAATTCAGTTTTGGGGCACCATGGAATATTTATCACAATAAAACACACAAGCATGAAATATGTACAGAAACTACTGATTCATTTCCAAGTTCCGGTTAAATATAGATGAATTTGTGTTTTTTTTTTTAATCTTGGACACATATCAACACTGTGTTTGTACTGGCAGCGCTTTGATTAATACTTCAGATACTGAAAAACTCAATATTAGACCAGAGTGTGAATCAAGATGGAACTATTCCAGACTGTTTTTAAAACTTTGATGAATAAATCTGTGAATGTTAATAAATAAATAGATGTTTACCAATGTTAATGTGCTATTAAACAGTTTGCCATCTGAATATTTTAGCAATCTGTCCTTTTTCACTCCAGCGTAAACATAATAAACTATGGCTCAAAAAAGAATAGGTATTGAAAGCTAAATATAATATAATAGCTTATATGTTCAGCATAAAAAAAAACATGTTAAAGTCTGATCTTAGTCAAAAAGGATTTTTATAGTATCTTATAGGAAGCGGGACCTGTGCTGAGTGAAATATGCTGTCATTGCTTACCAACCTTTTGAATATGCTACTTACCTGGTGGTCCCTGACATCAATATTTTGTGATCCACTGACCAGTAACATTTATGAAGTCAATAAAATCAGAGTGACAAAAGAACTGCTGGCCTGAATACTTATTCTAGGTAAGTGGTTCTGAAACCAGGGGTCAGCATGGCAGACAGGCATCTAGCATTTTCAGAATGAAGGGCCAGAAATAACAGCCTCATATTTCTCTTAGTATAGGTTTCCTTTATATGTCTTAGTTAAACTGCAGCAAACGTTATACCTTTATATCTCTTATATTGTAAGCTCCAAGGAGCAGGGCCTTCCTAGCCCTCTTGTATTGAACTGTATTGTTGCTGTATTGTCTCCTGTTATATTGTAAAGCGCTGAGCAAACTGTTGGCGCTATATAAACCCTGAATAATAATAATAATAATACCTCTAACTTACTTGACATTTATTTATTCTGTCATTATCTATATTCTTCTAATGCCCTCCACTTTTTACTAAGTGTTGCAACCAGTACATATGCAGTCTCCTAGCATACAGAAGCTGGAGATCTCACTAATCTAATTAACAGCTTGCCAAACTCGAAAGTGACAGAAACCAAAGAAGAGAAACAGTAGAAGGAAAGCTGGAAGCTCATTGTTTTTTTTATGCTAATCCCAACTGCAACAGAAACATAGAAAATTATAGATGCTATTTCTAATAATCAACACATTTAAAAGAATAGTAAAAAAGGGGAGATTCAATTTAATGTGACCCTGTGATGGAGAAAACAATGTACAAAGCAATACTGTATTACTGATCACATTCGGTAAAATTTTTTGATGAGGATTTCAGAGTCAGAATAAGAATGAGATTTGTTTTGCTAGTGAACTGGAATATCTCTTTGAACTGGTAGAGTAATCCAATGAAATGTTTCAGTTCCAGTGATTTCAGCAGACATATAAAGAAGTAGTATTTCCTTATTAGGTGATGTCACACAGGGAAATTAATGTAGATATAAAGTTTATGGACTGCAAAGAAAGACTTAAATAGTTGGTCCTCCTAGAAATTATATGTTAGTTTGAATGACCATTTGGAAACTTGGGCACTGCCCGAGGGCCCGGGGTCAGTAGGGGGCCCCATGAGATGCCCCTGGTACCTTTTTCTTAGGCTTTTTTGAGTTTGGGCAAAGACACAGGGGCCCTATGATCCCCTATTGCCCGGGGGCCCCATGAGTTGTCAGTCCGCCCCTGGTTAGATGGAACCTGGTGGCTGAAATGAGCTTGTTATACTGTATTTCTTAAATTCTCCAACAGTAAATCTTTCTGCCATAAATCCTGGTTCTGTTTCTGTCTGTCTTGGGTGCTTCCACCCTATTTATATGATCCAGGACCTTCTGCTGAATTCTTCATAATGCAAAATAAATACAAAAATAATCAACAGTGAGGTACCTTTTTTAATAGTTACTGCAGTTGTGCAAGCCAAGGTAGAGTTACCTCATCTGTGCGGGTGGTACATCTGTGCGGGGGTGGTTACCGCTGGGGATCTGCATGAAGATCCGTGCACCTGCACCAACCGCAGAGAGGAATGCGGACCCGTGGGCGGGTGCCATTAGTTCTAATGAATTCATGCCGCCCGCACTGGAAAATTGGCAACCGTACTGGGACGAGGTTCCCAAACGGGCTGTGTTTTCGGCAGCAAATAGAAAGGGACAATGCAGGCTTTTCTGCGTGTAAAAATTGGAGTATATATCAAATGAATGAAAAATCGTGCCTGCGCAAAACGTGGCCCGCACGGCTGGACATATGTGAACAGTTTGGCTCAAGGCAATATAAAAGAGAGTAGGCAAGATAGGTTATATTCTGAATGCCAAACATTCATTTGTATTATTTTCAAGAGACAATTTCAACACATCTTGTACAATGGCCACAATTATTTTAACAGTATTAAAGAAGTTTGCTAGGTGCATAAAAAAAGGAAGAGTCAATCACGTTTTGTTTTCTTTAGAACAAGCAGCCACAGCCTTAGCAGACATTTGGTAGCATAGTCCTGCCACAGAAACATTTTTTTATGGAAGCAGCAGTCGTTCTACTGTGGTCTGCAACACACCCCTTTTGAGTCCAGCAAAGGTAGCTTCAGGGCCTCATCAAAATTGTGGTTCTATTATATGTTTTTCTGTGGTTGATGTTTACATTTTTACAGTTAGCTTGGCATAAATACAGCAGCAGGACCTTTCAAATAGTTCAACTTTGAAAACCAAGCACTTTTAAAGAATTTTGGCTGCAACACCTGATTATGTTTTTTTATCAGTGTTATAGGACTCAATTGACTGGTGGAAGTAGAAGCCTTTAACAGCTAAAACGGGGTGCACAAAACACTTCAAAAAAAAAAAAGTGCCCGTGTTCTCCACCCCCACCTGGCCATGTCACTCATCACAGTTTAAATGTGAACGAGAAACTACAAGTCCCGACAGCCTTAGCAGCTGTCGGATTGAAGTACTCAATGAGCTACCACTGCACTGTGAACACTGTTTGGTAGTTTATTGATTTTTCCTGTCAAATATCTGCTTGCCTGTACATCGCATACGTGCAAGCAGGTACACTGGCTTTTCTTGCAATAAAAATTGGAGTATATTATCTGAGAAAAAGTAAGATCAATATTGTTCACTGCTGGACATGGTTTAAGCAGTTTGGTTAGGCCGTAATAAAAATAAGAAATGAAAGGTTATATTCTGCAAAAACAAAATGTGCATTTGTATTTTTTATGACAACAAGGTGTACAATTACCCTTTTTTTATGAAAAAAGTTTGCTTAGACCACAATACAAAAGGAAGAGTCAAGGCACGATTTTGTTTTGCAATAAAACAATGAGACACTGGCACCAAACATTTTTTGGTAGCTGACAGCACACTGAAACATTGTGTGGCAATCTTTACAGAAACTGCAGCACATACTTTGCAAGCTCTGGCCAGGGTCCTATATTCCATGGGGTTGTTATACTTGAGAGTGTCTGAATCAGCCCTGAACCTTATGTAGTTAGGTATAGCAGGGATTTTATAGTTAGGTATGTGGTTCAGACATTATCCATGAATGCTGCCTGCAGCCAGGCCTGACCACTGTCAGGGTTTGAACATGTCAGAAAAGTGAATGCAGAGGCCCCGCTGACACCTCTGCCCTCCTATTTGGAGCTACAGGAAGTTCTTGTTGTCAAAATCATTAAAAATAAGCTGGGGTTTGGTCTGAACCCATGTTTGGCTATGTCTGGAAGCCTGCACAGGCTTCAATGTGGAAATACAGGTCAATGACATTGCCTTGGTAGGTGTCGTTTTTAACAACTCAGTATGAGCTGCCCTGCTGCACTGGAAGATGGAGTGGAATTTTAGGGAAATGATGTTCCCTTGCAGCCTCTGTAGGTGTCATCGCATAGTGGGGAGGTAGCTGGCTGATGCAGGGACCTGCATGGCAAACCAGTAACCTTCAAGTGGCAATCTTGATTGGGGTAGTGTCCTGCT